AGAACTATTGTCTTTATGTTATCAGTCACCTACAGACAGATCCTGGGCAGAGGTAAGACTAGCTCAGGCCTTGCTCTGTACTGGTGAATCGCCTGGAATCAGCTACCTAAATAAGAAGAACGTGCATTCCTGAGCCATTCCTGGAAGGGGACCTCACGACTAGCGGGTTACACAAGTCGTGCTGCGCTCCCCACCCATGGTCAAGGTGCCTTCCCCTTAAAGGCAGAGAAGACACAGATGCAGCCAAACACAACTGGAGGTACCCTGAATCTTTGTTACAAGACTCCCTGAGCTTGCTGGAAGTGGAAGCTATGAGATACATCAGGATTTGGCCATGCTGTGGTGGTCCCAGGGCAGAGAGAGCTCTTCAGCACTTACAAGTCACATCCCTTGAGGCTCCCTGTGACACTTTTGAAAACTCTTCCCCAAGGCCGAGCCCCTGTGCCCGTCCCTCCTCAGCAGGGCCCTGGCTTACCTGCTCCTGCCGCGTCCCGGCGCCGCGTTTCCAGGCGAGAGGCGGCAGCAGGGAAGGCCGAGGGCTGCCCGGCTGGCTCCCCCGCGCCTGCTGCCACCCGCCTGGGGCACATCCAGTGCCCACGGGAATGCAGCAAGAGCAGAACCACGGCCCTGCCCGCACGTGAGACCCACAACTTACACGACACTTCAGCACTGCTTAAAATTGAGGCGTTCGCAGGAAGGACGGATGCTGATAAAACGCCAACTGCAGCCCCAATCCAGGATGTGCTGTTCCAGCCTGGCAATGAAGAACACTGAAGTGCATCGTGGTCAAACAAATTTTTTCTTTTTTATTTAAAATATCATTATTACCAACTGACATACTAGATAACAATGTATACATTCCAGTGGTGCACATGTAATGAATTATGGCATGAATGACTTACTTAAAAGAAAACCACAATGTTCTATGTAATGCCCCACCAACAGTTTATTTGGAGGGAAAAAAGGAAAAGCAGGAAAAGGTATCAAATGTGGGGAAGAAAAAAAAAAATACTGTTTACCCAATATTTTAATGGTGTGGCTTCTCCTTCATATTTCTTGGGACAAAATAAAATTAAGAATATACTTCAAAAGGGGCAGGAGAAATGATCACAATAACTTTTTTTTCTCAACTTTAGTAATAAAAGCTAAAGAACTCTCAAAAATAGACTAGATATTGGGCCTACAAAAGTAATTCATCTGTATGCAAAGCTTACCAAGAATTATTCCTTTTGTAAAATGTAAAGGATGAGCTGACATTACTAGTAAGCTATTTTTACCTACAAAACCAGACTACAATAATAAAATCACCAATTTACAACCAACACAATATTCTAGATGTACATTATTGTACACAAGCTATATATTACACATGAACATCTTAACGTGAAATATATAAGAAACATACTTACTCATATTGTCTCAACATTGGCCAATAGGTTTATTTGCCTAGAGGAAGTGTATTTTTCTAGTTCACATTCAGTGTAGTTCCAATAGCAAGGGTTAGCTTTGCTTACTTAAGAAACGTAGAAAGTTTGTGTGAGGTAGTTCGAGAAAAACCTAGCTTAAATTTTTAACTGTGACAGTGGAAACACCATGTGAAGTGATCTGATTCATAACATGTTTCTGTAATGCGGAGAGGGCTAAGGAAGAGGAGGAGAAGGGAGGGAGAGAGATCACTTACTGACATTATCGCTTTAATCCAGTGCCCTTAATTAAGCGAATTAAAAATTTGGTTAGCCAGTTGAGTCTCGCCACAAGTTCTGTATTAAAGCCTTCTTTCTAATCCTATGACAATGCAGCCAGCTCTGTTTTAACCTTAAACCTCAAACTAAGTACACAGGGCAAAACAGGTAGCCCAAACCATTAACAGTCAAACGGGGTGTAACAGCACAGCAGCACTGCTGCCGACAGCAAGTGAAGTTTTCTTACCTAGGAGGAGTAACTCACTGTCTTTAGCTACTCACACTGTAAGACCAAGCGTAAGCTGAACCTTCTTTCCCACTTAACCCATACAGTTAATTGACAAAATTCCATCTTGGGTGTTTGGGATTACTGTACAAGTAGGAATCTATCCACTCAGACAAGCTTGTGATCACTTTCTTCTTCACCCTCTGCTGACTGCCATATACATTAATGCAGGATTATGATATTCGTGCAAATGCCTGTCATGCCAAGTGCATAGTTTCTAACTGACTAGCTTCTGCCTTTAAGGACACAACTCTCCATAAAACAAACCCTCACATCCCTAACACTCCTTTTTACACCAAGTCAGAGCCACCGCCACGGACAGTGGCACCTCGGCTCAGCGATCTCGTGCGCATCCGTTAACAGGTAACTCACGCTGCTCCCACCAGCCCATCTAGCAGGAATTCCTGTCTAACAGGCACCATCGTGGCCGGCAGGGCTCCTAAACGCAAATCCAGGCCATGCCCCAAGCTGGGGCAGCCCTGCGGCGCCGCGCCGTCCCGCTGCCCGGACACGCGAGTGCTCACACAAAACAGCCCTCTCATCCGCTCGACCCAAGAGAAACCCTCTGCGCAACCGTGCAGCGCACAGCAGCAGCATTAACCTTTCCTCTCTCCCTCAGTCTAGTTAAAACCGTGAAGCACCTACTTCCAAAAACCGAGTAGATCTCATCTGTCTGTCCTGCCCTCGACGCCAGCCGCAGCGGACCCAAGATGGTGGAATTAACGTTGCTGTTAATGCTCAACCGCTGACCTCCTCTGGCAGAGGAAACAGCTCACTACCAACTTCAGTGCACGGGAATGGCTCTGCAAGGGGGAAATCGCATGCCCTTTAGCAAAATTTGTTCTTAGGAAAATATTTTGGAATCATTTAACAAAATAAAGTTCAAAAATAATTTAGGAATAAAACTATACAATGTATTAGATAGTATAACAGTGAACAACAGAAAGACAGACTAATACACCTGAACTCTAGCTACTCACTAGTTTACTATTTGTGATAGTGTTTTCCTGAAACAATTTTATATTTCAGCAAATAAAATGAGAAGTTAAGAAGAGCCTATTATGATAACTTGGATACTAGAAATCTGATTTGCTCATCTTTGAGCTTTGCCCTCACTTTGATTTGCACAACCTACAACAACCAAAAGGTAACACCACTGTGAAGATGGGGCCAAAAACAAACTACAGGTTGTAACAGGAAAAGCTCCGACCTTGCGGATATGACACCTCACTTCATACCAAGGACTGTCCTGGAGAGTCCCTTCGTGAGGCCTACCTTAAAAGGAATGATGCTTAATTCCCCTTACTGCTTATAAAGTCAGTCTAGTTACTACTGGTGTCACCCAGTGGTGAAAGACTAGACTCAGCCTGTATGTTGTTTAAAAAAAAAAAAAAAAAAAAAAAAGGGAGAAACTGTTTCACTTAATATTCACTGTAAGTCATATTTTCTTGAGGACACTGGAAAGTGATACCAAAATGATTCTAAAGTATCAAAATATTTCAATTAACGCTGCAATCTAGAGGGGTTCAAAATCAATTTAAATACAAATGATGTTTATCAAATTTTGTTCTTAACAACATTTACAGGTATTAGAAGTCAGTTCTGTCATTATTAACTTAGATATACTTAGCTATACTGGGTTAGCCAGAATATCATTTGACCTTATCAAAAAATGTAGTACTGTTGCATGCCTCAAAATTTTGGCTTAATTCACAGCTTAAAATTTGATAAAAAGTTACAAAATAGACTGTTGGTCTCTGTTCAACATGAGCAGATTTCCTACGTTCCAGTGCTAGATGAATCCAAACATGTCCTGCCTGTTCTGAGGTAATACACAATTTGGCAGGAAGCTGTAAAAATAATTGCCTTAACTAACGTGGTTTAGAAAGGCAATATTGAAATATCTGATGCAAGTGAGGAGAGCAAAATTTCACACATATTTCACTTACCAGCAGTCTAGCCAGGCCAGGAAAACAACTGTGCAGTTTATCAATTTAGTCATCATTGAGACATTACCATTCCTTGTAACCCTGTAGTTTTTTTTTCTTTTTTTTTTTTTTAAGACATCTGTTAAGATATTGAAAGCATTACTATCATTTCCATCTTTCCGAAACATTTTGCAAAGGTAACAACCTCCAAAAGTTATTTATTTTACCCAGTGAACTGCAACACCAATACTGAAGAGCATTGGTACCTTCTCCTGGACCTCAGTAGCCAGTCATGCTATTTGCTTCTGCTCTGTACCTGGCAAGACTTCTGAATTTTTTAGGCTCATTTCTGAGTATCACTAATTTAAATTCCTCTTCACATTCTAATTCACTACACAAAATGTGCATCTACACAAGGCAATCAATTATACAGCCTAGCTTCACTAGAAATTTGCATTTTCCAAAGGAATAAATTCTGAATGATTGTTTAACTCATACATAAACTTAAGTCAGTTATACATAAATCATTATGTAATTATAAAATGTAAACAGTTAAAATACTTCTGTGAGGAGCAGCACCATTTTACATGACTATTTAGTAACTGTTCTGTATATTTCAATATAACTTTTGTTTAAAAAGTGTATCGAAACCTGGAACTTCAGTGCTGAAAACTACTGACCATTTATGACTTAAAATGAACCATTATAAGATTTCTGCTACACTGGTCTCACGGTGAAGTGAAAGAGAAAAATATTAATTTATACAGCACTATTTTCTCTTCCTTTGGATGGCATATATTGCTCACTTAATGCACCAGCTACAGAAGTCTTACATCCTGAGGTTCTTCTGCCACTTCATGGTTTTTAGCAGTTGATTTAGCTGGAGAAAGAATGGCTGAAGTTTTGCCCCTATTGCATTCACATCGCTGTTTCTTCTCCCCAAAATGCACTCACCTTAATAATAATAAAAAAATAGTAGGAAACTGAACTCCCAAGAATCACATCCTACATGGAAGTATAACTACAGCATAATCGTTTTCCCTGTTGGCAGTCTAGACATCCTGGATACACCTTGTTTTGTGTGTACAAATAGAGGCTACAAGCTAGAAGTAAACAGTTTATTTGCATTGCAATGTATTATTCATGAAGTATCCTCTTGTTTTACGGTGATCACGAGATTTGGCATGCCACAATTCTGCAGAAAACATCATATTCCTTTGCTAGGCTAGACATTTCTGCAGTTTTGAAGATATGCTTTGCTTTCTTAAGTTTGTAAAGCCATTCAGATGAGGTTAATTTGCAAAGGATTGCATACTGTTTCTCTAAAAATTCACTAATTGCTACTTTTACTGAGATATTATAGGCAAGTGGCCAAAATAAGAGGATTTTATTCACTGCCAGCACTACAGTAGTATGCCCAAAACTACAGCTGGCTACACTGAATTCTTTCCCCCTCCACCTGGATATGGACATATGACCAAGCATAAAACTTGGAAGGATATCATGAACAAAACATCTGGAATAAATTCTAATAAAAAAACTGAAAACCTATAAAATCTTAAATAATTCATGATATGGTAATGACAACATTAACATGTGCTTTCATAAAACAAATCTTAAAAATTCAGTAAAAAAAGATCAGCAGCATAACAGTAAAGCAAATATGCAGATTTTAAAACCACAATAAAAATTATCAGGTTTAATATTTTACAGAGTTAATTACAGCAAAAAAAAGTGGCTGCTTTTAACACAACTTACAGTTTAAAATTACAGCACTTTATGATGAATCCTACGATTATTTCTGAAAAAACACTCAAAAATACCACCAACTCTTAAAGGTGCCCTATCAACGACTAAAAGCATCCCTCCCCTCCCACCCCCCAAAAGACCAAGTAGTCATCTACAGCAACCCAAAGGTCCAGCTGATGTTTCTAGACTGCTGTCTGTATCGGAGGCCAATGTTGGATCTGTTGACATTGAAGACACATCATTGACAGATGACGATGAAGATGGATCTTGAGAGCCATTGATCATTGCTGCACCTGTGCTATGAGAAACAAAGCAGCAAATCAGTTGCAGATACAGTTGCATGGCTCAGTACTTGCATTAGTCTGCCTCCTCCTAATAGTTACCACTTGTCTCTGTTGATCACTACGTAAGTAGTGGTTATATCATTATGTGATACTGCACCAGTTACCAGTCACACATCTAAGCAGGGACAACTAGATTATGGCAATAAGGTACCAGTATATTGCTGGATACTTCTGGAGGAAAAAACATGAAGCATCAGTTATACGGAGACAATTACAGAGGAGATTACCAGATTAATAAAAAGAGATATTCCACAAAGTAATGTCAACTCTGTTCATACCATTCAAATAAGCACCATCTCAAAGAGAATGCAAGAGCTGACAGGTCATGGAAGAGTCAAGCTTTGAATTTCGTTACTCTCAGATATCTCAGATTTACGGCCTCCTGACCTACAACTCAGTGGAGCTCTGTACTGCGCTTTTATTGTAACCAACCTAAAGGGGCTGGTTGTCCACGTATAACCCCATTCTTGGTTCTTTCCTCCAGGTCCATGACTTCCTTGTATATCAACTCTGAAATACAGGCAAAGAAAGGTAGAAAAATGAAATCTGCAAACTCAAAATGGATAAGCAATCTCTTATTAAAATGACCATTTAAATTTCACAAGTTTATTACTGTTTGGAATTAGTTTTGAACAACACACTATTGGCTTCCAGGGAGACTGGAACAAAAGGAACGAATACAAGCTGATACAACAACACACAGTTCTTTTTGTTGGAGCTGGCCTTGCCCTCTCAAGAACAGTTGGTCCTACTCTAACCTACCCTGCCAAAAACTCCCCATCCCTGAAAGTTTACTGTAGCTGCACATCACAGCTGCATTCCTTCAAGAACCACTTGGGCAGAGCCAAACGCTTCCTAGATAGGATGAGAGTGGCTGAATATCACTTCTCTGCACAAGCCTTTCACCCACCTGCAGTGTAAAATCCTCATTTAATAAGCCAGTTGTGCTGGTATAATATATAACTGGCATCTCAAAAGTCAGAGCTATGTACAAATTTGATAGGCAATGTTCTGAAAAAAAACAGTTGCTTTGGAGAAGTTTTTCAGCTCTGACACCAATTCTTTCTTACCTCAATAAAACATTTCACATACTACATCTATTACTTTTTCCATTAGGTGGCAGTCTCGATCTGAAAGAAATTCAAAACGTTTAGAATTTGATCTGCCTTTTTTTTTCTGCCCTCAGAAAATCTTTGCCCAACGATGGTAACTGAGCAAGTTAGTCTTGGCAAGCACCAGTGTCCTCAGGAGAGGCCAGACCACAAACTACTGGAAAGATGAGAGGAAAAAACCCCCAACAAACAAGCCCAAACTGCACTGCAATCCTCCCAACACACACTTGCCACCAAATTCCCTTAGAAACAACATGTCCATGAAGAGGTATACAGTTTTTGCATATGGGTAGACACTCTAAATGAAAGAAGAACTGTATCTTCCAGTTACAGAAGTTCTTCATTCTTAAAAAGGATGCAAGAGCTACTAGAGCGCTTACAACCTGGCTCATACACCCTGTGCACTGGGTGGAATGTTTCTAGGCTAATGGCAGCTTATTACCCAAAAAAGACTTCAGCCGTGAATCCACACAAGTAACAGCAGAAGAGAAAAAAAAAAGAAAAAGAAAAACACACAAGAGATACAATTCGTAAGAACTGACTGCCAGACTACTACTTCCTATAGGGTAATCTAATGTGATATACAGACAGTTTGAAAGAAAAACTAGGAACTGTAACTTTGAGGACTTGTAACAACCTTGGGTGTAAAATGAAATCCACGTTGTTTGACACACTTTCACTTTCTTTTAGCAGGATACCTGCCTAGCTGCTGCTTCAAAAGGGAATGAACTTCCCTTGGGAAGAGGATGGTGACAGAATTTTCACTGTTCTACTACCTCTGCCTTTACAATTAAAACCCGCTCACTAATAGAAAGATGATTTTATAGTGTTATAGTATTAGATTTTACAGCCCTTCTGTCCAAAACAACAATGAAATTCTGTCAAAAATGATCTATGAAACATTTTCCCTTCTTATTTCTCCTTAGGGGAGAAGTAATGCACCTGCCTAGATTTCTTCAGCACAATGCACCAGACTACTCACTGCACTAAATTCTTGCTTAAATGCCACATTTATAGCCTCTCTGAACACCCCCAAGATCAATGTGACCACTAACCCTGCTTAAAAGTCTGCAGTTACTGAGAATTGAAATATTTGGGACAGAGTAAGCAAGCCACCTAAATAAGAAGGCCACGCTCACAGTGACCGGGCATGGTTTCGTCCAAGGCACCACCATGTACGTCAGGGACTCTCCAAATGAGCACGTGGCCCACAGGGGAACAGCCCACAGCTGCTCTCATCTCCGCGAAAAATGTCACTAGGAATTCAGGTATTTGTCCTGTTTTGGCTCAAGAATAACCAATACGAAGCCAGGAACACACTAAATCCTCCGGTATGCTAAATTAATGCAACAGTCCTCTGAATGACCTTGTGAGGCAACTTCCTATCTGCAGACATTTCCAAGTAAATAAAGCCTCCAAAATCTTTCTTTTCCCCCCGCTGCTTAGCCTAACCATTATGGTAGGTGACAATAAAGGAGCAACACATTTTAGAGGTGGCTATAAAAGCTCAAGTTCTTACATTAGATCAACTACTTACTTAAGAAGAGCTCTAAAAAATATATTTAATTTCTGAAGAATTATCACATCATTAATTTATTATCTTCTGACTTGTCAGTAGCAACAGAGGAAAGCATATGATACAAATAATACATGTATAAAAGACATCTCCATTAGAAGCAGAGATCCTATCTACCTTAAAAGTAATGTCCACAGCTCTTTAAAGCTCAGTGACTGTCTAACCTTCCTTAAATTCCATGAGATACAGGAGAGTGTAACAAGGTTATGGATTATAATACATCAAAAGCTTCCATCATGTTATCAGTCAAATAACGGAAGTCAAAGCAGTATCAGCTCCTTGCGGGAAGAGATTTCCTGCATCCTAGGTTCCGTGAATATACACTGACATTTCAGAGCGGAAAAAAACCCCATCAAGAACAGAGGCTCCTCAGAAGGCTTCGTCCTTCACAAAAGTGCATCAGGAAGCAAGCCCATTCTCTTGTCCCCTGGCCGCAATGCCCCACAGGCACAGCTAGCAAGCTTTTGTACTTGGGCTGCTATGGAGGTTTAACTTAAAGCCATCTGGACTAACTGTAGCATGACTAGAGCTAGCTGCACTTTCTTTTAGCACCAAGACTTCGGTAGCAGCACCCAACTCTTGAGAAGCAATTGCAAAATCAAGCACAAAACAGGCCCGACGTTCTCTTTATACTGCATAATTTTATACCTCATATCTGACCAGGAAATACAGACACTAAAACAGCACTGAACACTAATCTGGCTACTGGGAGTACCAGCTCTAGGCCGTATTATGGTCTGGTGTGGACACCTCGAGCTCAGCTACATCCACAGGATCCCACAGGTGCCACCATCAGCATCTCCCACATGACACCACTCTGTCCCTTGTCACGCTCCTCACGGCAACCGCCCTCCCCTCCTCTGCCTGTGTGACGGCCACCAGAGCCACCGTCACCAGTCCTGACCCTGCCAACCACATGAGCTGTTAGGCTGTTCAAAGGACGTTAGGAACAGTGATCCCTGGGGCCAAGCGTACTTTAAAAAGCCTTGCTATACTTAAAAGGTTATTCTTACCTTTCCATTCTTCTATCGTGTGCTCCCTCTCATCTAACTGCTTATCTGGTATCTTTGGAGGAGGCTGAAAAACAAAACTGACTCATGACAAAGTAATTCAAAGAGATATGAAAATGGAATAAATAAAAAATGAAAATAAGGACATCAGAATATAAACCCAATTTTAAAATACTTTATCTATTTATTCAAATGTTCTGCCATATTTAACTTATTTTCTAGATGCCACTTAACATTTTAAACTTGTTCTGATTAGTAAATCTGCTTACATTATCACCATAATGCAGCCTGGTAAAATAGCTTGCAGTCTCCAGCCTCAAATAGCCCTTTGTACCTTTTTTCCGTTAATTACTAATTCTTTCCTTTCATTTTATAGGTCAGCAGAATTCTCACAGTACCATTTAGATAAAGCACCTTTTCCCATTCTCAGTGGGCCATCGCTCAATACCATTCTCTTAAAAAACAGTAAGGCTTTTCTCAGCATATATAAATAATCTTGAACCTAGTTTTAGAGAAAAAAAAAGTTACTCTCCCCTCCCTCTCTCTTTTTTTTTTTTTTTTTTTAATAGTGTCAATAACTAGAAACTCAAGACCTTGTACTCACTTTCTGCTGGAACACATACGTTTTAGATTATTGCAATTGCTACAACTAATAGGAGAATTTCTCTGGCCAAGAGGTAAATACCTCAGATTTTTAACAAGGGCAACCAACCCACACTGAAATAAACAAAGCTCAAGAAATGACGCTTTTGTATCAGAGGTTTTAGATGCATTATTAAATGCCCAGCAAGTTATATACAATTATACACGAATAAACATGCACAAAGAGATATAGGTATTTCAGCTGTCTGCAAGTCTGTACGAGTTCTAATAAATATGTTCTAATAGATACACCACTAAAATTATGATTATAGCTCAGCGAAGCTTCTAGTGATATGGTAGCTCAGGCAATAATCCTCTTTCAAGCAATTAAATAAAGCATCAAAATTCTAAGTTTGCTTTAATACAGTACTTGGCTAACTGGAGAGCTAAAACAAGAACTTACAGCTTCTGCTTCTGAGGGATCATACCAAACATTGATGTATGGGTGCTGCAGGGCTTCATCCACAGAGATTCTTTTAGAAGCATCTATAACCAGCATTTTTGATAGCAAATCCCTTGCTTGACTTGCTGCAAAAGTGAAATTGTCTATTTAGACTAGTGCCATAAGCATATAATGCAGTATTTTTAAGTTCTGAGAGAAGATTTATGGCAAACAAATCAAGGCTTAATAGCTATATAGTCCTCTCATTGTTTGGAGTTTAGAAAAGTGAGTAAACAATTTTTTGTGTATTCTATGGAAAAAAATATCGATAAAGATTGCTATGAAAAATAGCTTAACACCAACGTTCTAATGCTGCATAGTCTTCGTACAAGCAAGCACAGACACAAAAATATCCCCTCTTTTTGTATTTATCAAGCTTCTTATTGGGACATAAATTCTAAACAGCAATAAAAAAAAAAAAGTCTCAGGCACCTAAAAATAAAGTCATAAAACAGAGAGTTTAAAAATAAGGGGATGACGAGTAGTGGACACTGACAGAACCTTTTTCCCTGACTTCTCCTTTTCTTTCTCAGAATAACAGCATACAGTAAGTGAATACCAAATATTTCCTTTTTTTGGGGGGGGTGGAGGGAGGACTTGCTTGAAGCTTAGAAATTTTCAGCCTGTTTGTAATTAATATGACTGTGCTGACGGTCTGTAAAGCAAGCAACACGTAAAGAAAGATTGCTGAGAGATGAGATACAGTAACTCCCACCAGGCAAAACAAATCTTAATAAGCTGAACAGGGACAAGAAACAAACTGTAAATAAAAGAGAGGGAAAATATACCAACTAATTTCTTGAAGACAAATATACAGACAGCTAAATAAAGAGATTGGTAAATCAGATGGATGAAAAATTTCTATATAACATGCCATACAGCCATCAAATCATTCCTCTGCTTTATCTGATCCTGCAAAACTGCTCCTCCGGCACACTTTCATTCTTATTTGTTCAGATCCCTTTCAGAAAAGGATAAAAGTAGTTCAGACTCATCCAAAAGCTAAAACAATCTCTAAGCAGACTGAAAGTAATTGTATGAAGTGACAGCATTTCACCAGATGAGAAGCAGAGGGATAACACTTGTGAAGTGTTGGAATGACAAATGCTGATAAAGGGAGGGATTGTTTATGATGATCCAAAAGCAGGTATGAATCTGGTATGTTTGGTACAGCTTCTCAAGGTATGGCTGGAACCTGTAGCCTCTTTAGTTCTGAACGACTCAAAGGATATGTTAGCATAGGCAGGAGATTTACATATGGCAGAGAAGGCAATCTTGGGAAAGGGAGACAAAGGAAAGGACACATCCGGGCATATTCAGAAGTTCAAAAACTTCTGAAATGTTTAACAAGCAAAAGACAACCTTACCTTTAAGTTTATTGTGCTCAGAATCAGCTGGGAAAAGGACATCTGGAAAGAGTTTCTCAAAACTATATCCAGCATATTTAGGTCTGTTCTCCACGTAAGTTCGGACTGTAGGCTGCAATTTCTTCATAAATTCAGGGCATGGTGTTCCTAGCTGCTCTATAACTTTATTCCATTGATCAATATCTAAGGTTATGCAGCTAAGAAAAACAGTGTCTGATATTCAGCTAAAAAGTTATGTTTAATCCACATGAAATATGCAAAAGAGATAAAATATAGACAATCATAATGAAAGAACAGGTTCATATCATTAATCATGCAAAACTATAAAGAGTAATCAAGCCCCAACATGCATTTTACTCAAAATTGTAAGAATTAACCAGCAAAGGATATATTTCTAAGAAATGGAGTAAATGAAAAGACTTTTATGATTTAGTTAACAAGTTCAAATAAAGTTTTTCTTTTTTTTTCCTAAAGGGATCCTGGAGAAGAACTTGGTCTTTGATCTAAGCCCATGTTACACAGTAAGCAAGCTGTGAAACATCTTGCAGGCACTTGAGGGAACTGCCACGTGCAGGAGCTTCCTTCCCTGCTCCAGGCCGGCCAGGAGCCGCGTGCAGGCTCCAGCCGCCGGGGATATTTCGCTGCGACACAGCGCAGGGCGCCGGGGGCCCATGACGGCCCCAATCTGGACCCCACAAGTCAATGAGAATTTTATCAAAGGCTTCAATGCAGAAGCTAAGTGACTTGAAGGACACATAATGCACATCCTAATTAGTAAGTTTACAGAACTTGCAGAAGAATCCAGCAGATGCAAGCATAAAAACCCTTGTTTGGCTCAGAAATTTTTAGTTGCAGGTGGTTAAATACTGGGAGAGGATGCAGGTGAAGTTTGAGATACGCTTATCTAACTCGTACACTCCTCCCAGCTGTTTCTTTTTGGCTACTTTCAAGGATAGGATATGGAGCAGGCTTAACTTCACACCAGCACATGAACAGTGCTTTTCAACAGTGGAATATTTTTACATAAAGATTTTACAGTTCTTCTGTTCTGATTTACTACAGACCTAGAAAAAAAAGTGTTGCCAATGTACCACATTGAGGCTAAACTGAAAATCCATGCTAGCAAAGCAGATTTATAAAGCTAGGTAGCGCAACCAATGCAATGACAGAGGTGCATGAAAGTAAGGATTCCCTGCATCCCCTCACTTTGCCTCAAAATCTTTGCCTATAAGTTGCAGTGTATCCAAGATTAAGCAACTAACCTGCAGCAAAACCAGGAAAGGTATCTCATAGCATCTGACTGCAACTGGCCTTTAACTTCAGTGAAACAAGTAAGATACCAAACTCTAATCCCCCTGATTTTGGTGAAGATACAGAGGGTTTCAGTTTTATTTGCAAGCAACAGATCCTAAATTGGTAGTGTGGCTAACATGGCACAACCCACACAGACATAAGCCATTCCTGGAATAGAAACACGTAAGTGCTCAGAAAGTTATTTGCAGAATCATTTTTGCATAGAGTAATATAGAACTCCAGACTGTAGCCATTTATCTGGTTAGAAAAAGATTTCTATCTTCTATAAAACACAAAAAATAACAACTGCTAAAGCCCTCGGATACCAAAAAGGATTAATAAATTATCACATAAAAATGAGCTTCAAAGCAAAAATCAATTGATGTGAATCACTAAAGCATCATCTAAACAAAACAAAAAAACTGTCTTAAATGTGACAACATCCAAAAACAATGGTAGACACTATTAAATTGGGAAAATAAACAAACAAACAAAGGAAAAAAGGAAAAATAAACCTGTTTGCCCACATGTTACTTTGTCTATTTTGCTAGAGTTTCTTAGTTTGCATTCATCTGTATAGACAATAATACATGCTAATGCTATCTGCATTCTTGTTCTGATTTACACGGTGTAACTGCAGTCATTTTTGCAACATCTTGGAATGAAAATCACAAACTTGCAAATTTTATTTTTAAAAGGCAGTTTAAAAACAGTATTTTAAAAACTACCTTAACCTGGAATTAAATTGCTGCAGTATCTTTTGACGTCTTATATCTTAAAACTACAGCCTAGGTCAAAGGTAAGGATACGATCTGTACCAGGAAATAAAACACCACCTTTGATCATTTCTCCCATGATGCACCCAACTGACCAAATGTCAACTGAAAACAAAAATGCAATGGTATTAACATAAAAGTTATTAAAATAAAGTAAATAAAAATACCTAGACGCACAGACACACACACGTGAAGTGATCATAAAAAGCGTGTGTAATGAAAATGACTGAGGACAAACGTGTGCTAACTACAGGACCAGCAGAGACTATGTCCTACTGCTAGGTGCAGCCTCAATATAAATACAGTTCTCACCTCAGCAATTTTTTACGTGTATCACAAGAAAAATTCATGTCAATTTCACGGGAAGATTGTACAATGTGCATTTTCATGACAGAACATTAAGGAAAAGGTTAATCACTTCCTAGCTGATTCAACCTGCTGCAGCAGCACAAGGATACAGTCCCTTCCTGGAAAGAGGATTTTGTGGCAAACCATTTCGCCCATAATGCACCCCACAGACCATAAATCCACTATGTTTGTAGCACAAAAAGAAGGAAAAGCAAAGCAAACGGTCATTTAAAATGAAAAGAAGCATAACATGATTGCATCCTATAAATTGCAGAGACAGCACAGGAAGAAGAGCAAGTCTTTACATTAATCAGTGAAACCATTTTGAAAACACAGTGTACAAAGGTTGTTAGCTTTTAACTATCTCAAGTGAAAGGCAGCAAAGCAGCCTGTCATTTAACAGAGCTCAGTAAGAGGAAAGGGGGCAGAGATGCACACGAATGAAGCTGTATAAAGCTCTTCTTCAAGTTCTGAGGCTTGCAAAGCTGGCACTGCCAATAAACTAAATTGAAGCAGCAAAGATAAGTACATTTCTTAAAACTAATTCTGAAGTAGTTATAGGAATCATTTCAAAAGTAGCAAAGTAAACTGACCTTTAAAAATACAGCACATCTAAATCGCTTTTACTTTGAGGAGCAGCATTAATTAGGTATTGCATAAGAATTTGCCATTGAGTATTTCCTAAAAGTCAGTTTAGCATGCATTCCTCTCTCCCTTTAAAGAAAGGGCGATCGGTAAAATACATTCAGTAAAAGATCACTTATAATTTTAGAAGATCAGTTAATGACAATTTTAGAATGCTGTTATAAGTCTTTTTACTTTAAATAATTGGTTTAAAAGTATTTCTGCAGTTATGTTCAAATAAGATCTTACACAAAAATTTATGCAATAGGTTTTGTACACAGTACATATTTGCTACATTATCTTAAGATAAATCACTCGGAAGACATACTGAAAGATGCACAAGATTACTTTTTAGAGGTATGCCATTTTTCTTCTGCTGCTTTCGGAGATAATGTTGACTATATGCAAAAGTTTTCTTGAAATCTTAATGATGAATCTGTATTATTATGAATAGATTTGCATCAAACATAAGATTGGCATGTATAAAGCAGGAAAAAAAAATCAATTTCAATTAAAACAATTGAATACTAAAAAATCGTATGTAAAAGTTCCGAGGGACTTAAGCAATTTTAAGCAAACAACATTGGTTCTTTTTGAAAATATTCCTCCTTTTCTTGCTTAGAATTTCCTCTGATATAGCACCCAAATCATATGAAAACAAATCACAGTTGTATACATTAATAAAATTAATGTATACATTAACAAAATTAAGGGCCTGGTTCATTTAAAAAATGATTGTCTACATTTTATGATTAATCTTTTTTTTTCCCTTTAAAACTCCTCTGATATTTAAGAAAAGTGCATTTCGCTTGACTCAAAGACCCAAAGATATGAGGCTAAGTTTTGAATTTGGGTATTCAATTAAAATTCTAAATACTGGCTTTTTCATCTGCAGAATAATCTCCTGCTTTCCCAATCCAAATAAACTCAAATCCACTGTAATAGTTTGTGTCCAATGTGAATAAAACACTTCTGCAATTGCATGGAAAATCCTGGGAAGGGCAATAATATAAGTCAAGCATTTATCTTCATGCATCAGAAGACAAATGAATTGAGAATCTCAGAAGGACATCAGAATCAACCCTCTGCTCACCCTTCAGGACAAATCTGAGGCATACTGGGACCTTCTGTTTGTTGTTTCAATTAAGCAAACAAAAGATGTCTGTTTAATAGTCTTTTTTTAAATGAAGCTAAGCTAACTTATCCACAGAGGACTGTCCTTGTGAAGACTATTATAGAAGATTTACAGTAAAGTCTAAAGAGAGGTTTGAAAAATCCTTTTTAAGGTCTACTGTTAGTAACATAGAATATATTTTATATTTTAAAAGCCTGTCCGATGTGAATTTGCTATTTTCTGTAACTCCAAGAGAAAAAAAAAAAAGAAAAAAAGTGAAGTTGAAACTAAGTGCACAGAATAGGAACTTTAAAAGGGATTTCCTTTACATGGCTTGGGCGTTTCCTAGCTTTTTAATGAATGTTCCCTAAAAGCAAGGTGCATAACTACACACAAATCTAAACATTTTAAGATACAGAAATTAAATTGAACGTACCAGGCAAACCCTTCTGTACTACTGTACAGTGTTATTTGGGTGCTGTGACCAAGTACAAGCTCCTGAGTTTGCAAGGCTTGGCTTCTTATCCAAACGTGTTTTATCCCCTTCAGAGGTAATTCTATTTTCTAGTTTTAACCAAATTAAATATTTCATATACATATGTAATATGCAGCAAGAGTACTTTTCTACAATATGCATCTCCATCATCTAAATATATATTGCAACACTCCCACATTTTGTTTGAAGGTACAATTTAAAAGGCACTAAAGCTCGATAGAGCTGTCATCTGATCCTGTTAAATTAAACTAAATATTAATCTCTCCTCTACTAGTTAATAGTTAGCTGTCAATTTTCAAGACCCTTCGATTTACCTGGGAACTAAATATACTAACCTTCAATTCAAATGTAGGTCAGAAGGGCTAGAATAAGCAACAGTACTAAATGATGGGAACCCTGGGCAGCCCGTGGCACAAAACATTTGAGGAGAGAAGCAGTTGATGTAAATAATCTTCTAATGACGTCCCTGCCTGGACTGGGCTCCTCCTCAGGGCTGACTCCTTGCAGTCAGCAAGACGGCTGTCAGTGTGCTAGCAGCAGACCTGTCCTCTCCTACAGCTGGGCAACTCACCAACCAAGTCATTCTATGTTTCCTTGTAATTAGATAATGTTTTGCTAATAAGCTTATCCTTCTCCTGCTTTCAGATACTCCCTGCTGTGCAATTCAGCTAAAACCAACTGAAGTACATGCAGAATCCAGGGTGTCTTTTGACTCAGTTCAGCGCACTAAGTTACTTTTTAAGTTATCTTAAAAAGAAAGAAAAGGAGAGAAAGAAAAGCTTAAATACAAGATGTCTGCAAAACTTAAAACTCCAGCAGTTAGAAATGAACTTTAGGCTCTGACTCAACCTCTGGCTTCCAAGTTATAGAAAAAATAGTCAAAAAAATAGTCACTGTGGAAGCCATGGAACTTCATTAGTCATGCAGACTAATAATCCATACAGAAAATATACACCATTGGCTTAGGGGGAATCTATTCTCATTTCTCTGAGCTATCATCTTCTACCGTTAGCACCAATAGGAGTTATTATTGTTTTCATTTTAGTAAAATCAGATCTGAATGCTCCTGAAAGTTACAGTTTACATAGAGCCTGTAGCCATTTGCCTTCATGTTGCGCAGCTGCCGGGAAGTCTGTGGATTATAGTGCCAATCGTGAAAAACAGAGTAAAGCCCCAGCTGTAACCTCAGGGGAATCGCAACTCACAAAGCATCAGATCATGACACAGGGCTTGTGGCAGGTCTGATCAATACTGAGTCTAAAACACCTCCAGCAGACGGTGACCAGAGCACCCTGCGGCTCCTGGGGAAGCCAACGGGATGAAAAACAGCGACAGCAGCTGCAGCCCCGTCCGGGAAATGGCAGTGGAACTGGGACCACTACAGTTGGATTTCAGGAACGCTGCATTATCTCTGTTTCCTCAAGGATACCACGTGGGTCATTTGAAGGATGATTACGTAGCTGATTACGTAACGTTCCCTCATCTTCCCTTATAGCCTTCCTCATTTTCTTACATAAGATACTGGGAGAAGGGTGGGGGACACAAGCCAGGTACCAAGAGAAGGAAAGTGTCTGTAAGCAGGAGGACAAAATAAATAATCACCTCTTTTGAAATTTCCTTTTCAGGGACCTCACAGAATCCAGGACACTTTGTGCCAGTACTCTGCGTTTGAAGTGCACTTTTTCTCAAGTGCCATTAACCAAGAACTTCACGTCACAATTTTTAAAATGGGCTGGTCACAATAAAAGGCAATGCCACAGCAGGTGACCTGACCTCATTCATGTCTGAGTGGGCCGTAAGTTCCGTTATCTCTAAAGGCTGTATTGAATATAGTCATGTAAAATTATATTTAGGATATGCATTACTAATGAGTAGCAATTTACAACTTTATCAGGAATATAATCAGTGAAGATATATCAAGGTATGTAAAAAATGCTAAGAAAATACATTTCCAGCTCTTCCTGAATGAAGCTTATTCTTCCAAGTAGGCTATTTAAATTTTTAAACAAACAAGGCCCTCAATTTCTTTTCCTATTAATGCAATGTGTTTTGTTAAATAAACAAATCAGTGTAACCAGGCTGTGCATTTTGGTTGCAGTGCTAATTTATAAAATTTCTACAGGTTAAAAAAAAACATTAACATGTAAAATGTGGTGTGCCAAACAAAAAAATAAAGCTATGCCAAAGAAAGACTGTATTTGCTGACCGTTTTCTTTGTATCCCATCCCTAGGATGACCTCTGGTGCTCTGTAGTAACGAGTCACTACATAAGGCGTCATCATAAAACTAGTTCCTGCGGTTCTGGCCAGTCCAAAGTCAAGAATCTTCAAAGTGCAGTCTGATTTTACTACTATATTACTGGGCTTTAAATCCTTTAAAAAGAAACATCATATATGACTGCTAAGACAAACACAAGTACTCAGTGTTTCACATTTTTAAAAGATAATACTGCCAACCCACACATACAACTACATCATTTGTATAACTGCAGTGTCTTTTCCCCTTGTTTAATTCATATACATTCAGCAAACTCTATTCCTTATGTTTCTAGATTAGTTAACGATTAAAAAAGAAAACCACAATTAGTGTTACAGATATATTAGCAATGTCTGAAATAAACTGAGGTTAGTATGAAATGTTAGCTCTGGGGGGAGGACTAGAAACTCTCCACTGGAACAACAGTTGTTATTACAACGCAGGTCAACACAACAATTGTGAACTCACTTGATGCAATAGTCATCACAATATAAAAATTATTAAATTCAACATATGAAATTAAAAATAAAAGGTTTCTTTATTATTAGAGGCTACATTACCTCTTGCGAACCAATGCAGGTGTTTCTCTGAGCAATATGGAAATCAACGCTCACAGACACCAACACTTAGGATTTGTTTTACATCTATAGTAAGTTTTGATGACCAAACCCGAAAGGTCACCAATGAAAAACTGCCAAATACTTTAAAATAAGAGTGAAAACTGGCCTGATAGACTTTCTTTGTAAATATATTCTCTTCACTTGAATTCCAAAATCACTTTTCAGTTTTCTGCTGCCTCCTATCTTCTCACTCTTCCAGGAAAAGTTAAAAAGATTCTAAATTCACACTGACACTCATGGCTTTGCGGTGTCTACGTACACAGATGCTACACAGGCATACTCAGTTGCTAGCTCAGCAGGTCCTTGCATACAACTGAATGTCACAGAGCAAACATTATCAACAACTTCAGAACAACTCTGCCTTAAAATCATCATAAAATCATGCATTACAGACCATCAGAGACAGGCCTGAATCCTTTCTGCCTACAACCTACCAATATTAATTAGATCCTCACAAAAAAAAAAAAAACATGCTCTCACAGGACTCCAGCATTTGATGCATTTAACCTGATTACCAGGCCTACCTTTCACTATTTCATAGATTTACAAGTCACCATCTGCAAGATATATTTAGTTTGTATTTGAATGACTTTGTATGCAATAAAGACAGAGAAGAAACCACAGGCCAGAGAACCATCTGAAGCTAAACAGAAGTGTAATGGGTAATTACAATTTTAAAGTCTTGCATACCACACACTCACATTTTTCCAAATCACATGCAGACCTTGCAGACAACTTTGGCTTAAAAGATTCTCAAGTGCGTTAAGTTCAAGTACACATTTCACATATTTAATATGCACATTTCTGTTTCTGCTCTAATCCTATTTATCAGCTTTATTTTTACACATTTGTATTATTTGGAGGGTTTTCATTACTGAACCTCAGGCGCATGCTCATGACGTTAATCACATTTATCCTCCTCAAAGCCGCAGGATTAAAATTGAAAATGTTAAGAAATCTTCACTTCACAAAAGGAAAAAAAAATATGGGAACAAAATGCAAGGGCTTACAGATTATTGCCCATCCTTAATTTTTGAACATGATGTGACTGTCACAAAGCCCAGGAACATGTTGGAATACAGGAATTTGGAATACAAAACTCCTCCCCTTCAAAATGCCAGAGGCAAGCACTGACCTAAACTGAATTCCAAATTCAAACTTCCTATGTTTTAAATATATTAGAACCCTGAAGTTCCTATAAGAGTGATTAAATCAATTGGGCTGTACAAACCTATCCAGGAACTATAGCAGAAAATATATCACCTAATGTTAAACATATAAAATAGCAGTGCTTAAAAATCAGAGATAATTCATGGCAGACTCCCCAAGAACTAAGCAGGACTGGAAAGGCATCTCTGGAGAGTAATTCATTACCATTAGACTAAATCGTTTTTTGAAGAAGTCTCTTTCTATACAAAAATTTGAATGCTGAGCTCACACAATTCGGCATCTTTGGTAAGTACTGAAAAGCAGATAGGAGAAAACAAGGCTTCAGAGCCTCCATGAAAGACTGTGTCCTTCAGCAAGTCAGCGAGGCACAACTGCGGTTAGCCATCCCTCCCGGGGTGCAAATGAAAATGAATATGCATCTATCTCTACACTTGCTGGAGAGCCCGTCTCCACAAAAGGCTTGAAATACCACAGGGTTCATTTATCAACCTCTGCTAAAGCCAGTGTAAAGTCAGAGCCAAATCTTTATGAAGATCAAATCTTTATCTACTCATGTGAAAGCCAAGTAGGTCCTCTATTACTTCAATGCAAAACAGCCTAAAGCTCTTTCAATGTGATCCCGGCTCCATGTCTGTAGAAAACCTATTTCTGCAGCAGGCAGTATCAAACAGTCCTTACAGAGAATATGAAAGCTTTCGAACTTCAATCAGCTTATTTAAAAAAAAATATAGAGATATTCATTAAGATACTATAGTTATCTGAAAAACTGAACCAACTTAAAAACCATGCAAAACTACTGACAAAAAGGCTCAAAACTTAAGACTAAAGAAATACATTAGACCAATACCAAGAATGCTCCAAGAGCAAAGTCATATAGTTTCAATGTAGTAATTAGTTCTAGTCCCTAAGGGCAGTGCTGCTGAAAGCCCAATAAACTGGTACAAAAAGTTACTACTGCAACCACCTACATCCCAGGTGAAATACGTCCCCCTCATCATTAAAAGCTCTTCCAGACAGATCAAATCTTGACACTCTGCACCTTTAAGTGTAAAGGCATAATATATTGCAGGTAAATAATGTAACCGTTTCGCTACAGAATAAATCTCCTAACAAGTATGGAAAAGGGTTGTCAGATGAAAATCTATCATAAGGATCAGCAAGTGAAATGTACCTGCCCATGTCCTTCAAAAGCATTCATGCATACATGTTACTATTTGCATAGCAAGTGTCTCTGTAGTCAATCTCATTACAATAGCTTATTCTTAAACTTTATATTCCTGCACACTACGAAGCATCTCAAAAATGTCACCCATATTTACAAAGGCAGGCATTCTACCCTCAAAGCTCCTGCCTGTACTCCCACCGAACAACAACTACCAGAATATCTGCTTCTTTTCTAAATATGTACAAACATCTCCATTTGTTCATGTTCAACTGTTCTTGAAGGAAGAAGCTCCCTTCTATCTCCACTAAAATCCATCAAAATAGAAACTCTTACCTACTCCTACCCACTGTGTATAGAATAGGCTATTTTTTTTCAACACACAAAAAAAGGCCTTAAAAAAAAACCTTTTATTAGCACACAAAGGGCTGCAAAATATTAGTCATATACGATACATTATTACAACTCCAATGGGAAATCAAATTTTCCCTATCATTCCCAGAATAATGCCAGCAGCCCACGGCCCCTAGCATGGCATTTCATCATGAAAACGGCTGTTGGAGCAACCCACATGGCTTTTCACCACTTACTTTCCTCTCTACATCATTCTCGAGGAAGACCACATGGTACTGAGAGGAAAGTAACATGAGTAAGCTTATTTTTCTTCTGCATCCTTTCAGAGATAGAAACTTACAAAAAATCTCCCAAAATATTATAATGATAAAAAAAAAGTTCTAAAAATACAAGTTGGCAGATTCCAAAAATAACAGAAAATATTTCTGCAATTTTACAACTAGGTAATCTCAAGCAGTGTTTAGACTACCTACAAACATATAAGATGTTGAACTTCAATAAGAAATCTTATATTAAATTATATATATTAACCTTGTATTAAATTAAATATATTACAAGCAGTACTCAGTTTTCCTGGAGGCAGCTTGAATGAATGCTTTGTGACATGCAGCTGTATTAAGTTCCACTTACAGGTCTTCATCATGAACTGTTTATCTGGAGATTTCGGATGTGTATTCATTACTCTGCTAGTAAAAGAGGTGAAGCAATAAGGGCAGTTCTTTCAAAAGATGGAATTTCAGGTTTGGTTATCAAAGCAATAAAGGCAGAGATGGTTTCAGATGGTCTCTCCTGCCATGACTACTACAGATAGATTATTACATAGAATGAGAGGAGATAATGTAACTCACTGTAAAGATGTTTGCTTACTTATTCTGTGTAGATTACTATCAAACCCAGGAATAACATTCAAAAGATTAAATTCAGAATTATGCTAAAAAAGAAAAAAGTAATTTCTTTTTATCTTTCTCTCTGCCTGAGAAGTATTTTGTGCTATTCCTGCTTTTTTTCTGGCACTTTTAAACAGCCAGGACAAAAGCAGGTGCAATGCAAAACAACACAGCAAGCTCACTTACCCTATGTATAATTCCAGCTGAGTGAAGATGTTTGATGCCACAAAGCATTTGATAGAGAAGATATGACATTCGTTCATGATCTAGTTCCATCTGAATCACTTGGCAGAGATTTGCATCCATGAGCTCCATCACTATGTAACTTAGGAAGCAACAAAAAAGAATAATCAGATAATACTGCCATTTTATGGTATTCTTTCACTTGTTCATCATTCTCAGCTTTAGTTCAAATCAGACTTACACATCTTGAAATTCTTCCAGGGATTTTTGAGGTGTGAACACATTCAGTAGGCCAATTATCTGCAGGAAGGGGGAAAGGAAATATCAGAATAGCAAAGCTGCAAAGCCAGCATTTCAAAATTGACAGCCAACATTCCAATTCAAACCTCCTGGTAAACTTCACTGAAGCTCAGATAGGTCCAAGGGCTCAACTACATCTAAAACGCTGTAGTAGATGCTAAGGATTCTAGGAAAAACACTACATAATCCAAAGACATTTTGTGTGCATTAAAAAGATAACTTTCAAAGGATAAAACCCAAAGTAGTCAGTTTGTCCTTCCCTTATCCGATACTTTGTTTGAACAGACCTGATACGATTTTTATTACAGATGAGAATAAATAAATAAATAAATAAATAAATAAAGAGGAAAATCTGGCAGTAACAGATCTAACACTGTCTAAGAGATACCACTCTGCCATAGACAGAGACAAAAGTAACAAGCCCATCCAAAGACAGAAACAGATTCTTGCAGGTGCATTAGACTACTTTTCAGTTGCTAAGAATATATGGAAAATAAAGGAACAGGTCAAGCTATCGTTCATCATGAAGAGTCAGGCTAGCAACAGCACAACATCACACAAATTTTGCTGCTAGATAAAATTTAGTTCAGAGAACCCACACATAAACCATTCCTATCTTAGAAAGCATGGAGAATTTTCTGAAGTAGCCACAAGACAAAATACTCCTTCTATGATTCTCCTTGCACAAGAGCCATGGGATATTTTATCTTAGTGAAGAGGTATTAAGAGTGAGGGCCAAGAAGACAGCATATAGCTGCCTGTGAAGGAAGAAAAAGCTAGTAACGACATTCTGTAGTCTGACCGTGTAAAATTTATCACTTTTTCTCTCTGTAATTCTATGCTTTGCTCTGCTTTACAGCTTCTCAAACATCAGACAGTTCCGGTTGTCACACTGTAAGATTCTTAATACATTCATGCATCAGAAAAAAAACGAAAAGTCTCCTGCAGCCTCTTTCCCCCTCCTAGTTAGCAGATGCAGCAGGAAGGAGGATGTAGTCACCCGTCATGGCATATCCATTTGCCAGCTGTCTGTAAATTGCAGCAATGTTAACAGTGACTACCTTCCTGAGTCTGAAGAGTACATTTTGTGATTGGGTGGGCAATAAAACTAGTAAAGAGTGGCTATTTTGAAAGATCCTTAATCCTTAGTAAAATGTACTTAACATGGAGATAGGGTCATGCTCTGAACACCTCTTCAGCCTACGAAAGGTATCATCCTCTGAAATCGTCCTGAAAATTTTTAGAAATAAATACCTTCTAGTTAATTCTTTGATATCTAAAGCATGAAACTGCACTCACATTTTTGTGATTAACACACTTCATAAGAACAAGCTCTCGGTAGGCTCTTTTAGCGTGAGTCTGGTTCTGAAATGGCCGGCTTAGCTTCTTGATTGCAACATTTCGTTCAAGGATGGCATCATAAGCTGCACTGTAAGTAAAACGAAATTATTATATCTCAGTGTTAGACTCCCGTAAGCTGTGACAGTTCCCACCTTTTTCATGTATCACCTTCTATCATGTATCAAATCTGCAGATAAACCAAAGTTTCAGTACTATTAAACTTATATTCATAAAAGCAGAGTACTCTTGCATGCCGAGTAACTGAGAATTTAGAAAGGCTTTCCCAGTTTCAGAGTCCTAACACATCACAATGTCTAAAATAAAATAAAAATAATAATAAATGCAGGACCTCCATTTCTGAAAGTACCTTACTAAAGATACTGAGTTCTTTCCACTCACTGGCACTCGAGAACTGACGGGATTGATTAAATAAATAAATAAATAAAGTGGGGGGGGAGCAGAGGGCTGGAATTTGCCCCTTCTATCCCTAGATATAGACGATCTTATGGAAGAGTGGCAAAGAGCCAGGAAAAAAAGTTTATAGAGGACTCCTGTATCAATATTTAAAATTCTGCATCCCCAGCATGTAGCTGTAGCCTCAGAGTGTTTCAGTGTTAGATATAATAGAGCCTTTTGGACATCTACTTTACATTCCTCCAAATTAGGATGGATTTTTTTTTTTTAACTCATTCAAAAAAAAACAAAGACCACAAACCACAAGAATTGCACCTCATGTTCTCCAAACATTGCAAGATGTAACCACATGAGAACTCCAGGCCTTTCAGAGTGGTTTAAACTGAAGAGGTTTCAATTTCCACAGAATGACACCGGCAGTAATTACACGGGCAGTTTTGAGATACAGCTCAGGGATGGGCAGTAGATTTGGGAAATGGGCAGTAACACAGATTTGAGGATCACAGGAACAGTGGTAACATTTAAAGCTTTTGCAGTCATTTCTGTAGCAACTGAACAGATATAGTTAAGCAACTCTCCTCACTCTCATTACGTTAACACACAGCCAAAATTCATATTTTTTTCTTCTGCTGCTTCAGCTAACAGAACAAATAATCCTAATGACAGAAGTTATCACTTCAAGAGCATCTCTTTCCAGATAACTGACCTTTGTGTTTTTCTTTTGCACTAAGCATACAGTTTTATTTTTTTTTTTTATCTCAGCTAAAATGCAAAAATGATTTAAAAATCAAGTGTACCACAGCTGCTATAAATACAGATCAAGACAAGAACAAGGCAGAAAAGAAGTTACAAGGAAAATATTCGAGAAAATTACTCATTTCCTTCTATTTCTTAATATTTCTTTTGTATTTTTTCCCTTAGTATTTTACAGTTACAACAAATTGGAAAGTATGCAAGTTTCTGTGCTATCTACAACCTCATCTTGATCATAAAAGAAAAGCCTCAAAGAAGCTTAAACTAACATTTATCTTTGGGATAACTGCATAGGAACAGACCCTACAAGCAACTGTCACTGCTCTTAAATCAAATGGACACTCTTAGTCCACTTGGCAGAGCTCTTACTCAAAGAGTTATACTGTCAAGACTTATTTTCCTAAACTAAGCCAGGTATTTACATATTTCCCTGACAGTCAGCATGATAAATGCCTACTGGTATCACAGGCTAGTTAGATTATGAACCTGAATGAACCAAGCTGCTAACAAACTACTTTCAAGAAGTATCATCTCCAGAAGAGTCATTATGAGCATCAAATACATAAAATATTTCTAGCTCTTGTTTCAATGTTAGCACTGCATCTTAGGATTCGTTTCTTTATCCAGGCTTTTCCCCCTTTATTTATGGAACTCATTACATCCATATAGGTTTGCACAGAGGGCATCAGTTCTGAAGCAGGAACAGACGCAGGTCAAGAAACAACAGCAAGAGACACTGCTGAGGAAAAAGTGGCTAATGGTCAATACTGCTCTTTTTCATACAAAAAGTAGTTCTTCAAACTCTTCCTCTGTAACATATAAAAGCCAAGACACTCAGAAAATTCTACAAAATGAACTTCAAATTGGATTTAAGCTTGACAGAAACCCTACCATACTATCCCTTGTGCTCCTGATCCTATCGGTTTTAAGTTTTGATATCGCTTCAACACAGTGAAAGTCGAGTCTCCAATTTCAACGCTGTAGAAATTGTTGTCACGCTTGCTTCTGCTCATGACGGCAACTTAGTGAGATTGCTTCATCCAAATTTTGCTTCTGACCTGCAAAGAAACAAAGTTTGAAGACTCTACATATTTGATAAAATGGAAATTCTTTACAATAAATGGAAGACATTTCTCCCCAAAATCCCATATGCCAACACATGCTATTTTTTATGTCGCAGGAACGAGATGGTACATACCTAAAAACTTTTTTTTTTCTTTTTAATCCTATCTTTTATCCTGAGGTAAGAGGACTAATAGTAGAAAAGTAAAATCGAATGATTGGATTAAAAATCCTTAATGACAATGGACAGAAGTGACACAGGAGTATTGTAATTCCTTTTCACATATACTGTCCTCACATACACTGAAAGGCCCTGGAGAACCCTGAAGACTGTGCATAATTACTAATCAGATACTACTGAAAGAAAACTGGAATTTATGAGACCTGCAAGATACTAAGGAGGGTCAACAGCTTCCACTCATCATTTTTTGATCTAAGTTGTAAAGACATGATACTACTAAAAGACAAAAATGTTTTGAAGCCTGGAACTTGTAACTCCTTGAAAAGGCAAATAGCATAAATATTTAAAAGCAGCTATTATAGCAACCTTGAGAAATATGGATTTTTAATAGGGTTTTATTGACACCATTTTTTTTCACCAAGATTTAAATTAAGCTTACTTGAAATAGCAATAAGTTTGCAGAACAACAGAAAACTTGTATAACAAAGTTTATGTAAAAACCTCTCTCTCTCATTCACATCTGTTTAAAGAAAGGCATATATCTTAGCACTTCTCAACAGAACTATACAAATGTGCTGTCTTCAAGATACCTGTACAACAACATAATGCTGTAATTTAATTGATTCTTAAATTTGTCTATAATACAAAAAAAAAAAACCCACTTTATTATTTATATGGAGGGAGAGTCCAGGAGAACCGGTTAATATTCAAGCAGCACATTCTCCAAGCTCAAGATCAGAGCATCCCTGGGAGTAAGAAGTCAGGCAAAAGGGGCAGGAGACCTGCATGGATGACCAGGAGCTCCTGGCAAAACTCAAACAGGAGGAGGAAGAATACAGAAAATGGACAAGCCAGACAATTGGGAGGAATATAAGGAATGTTGTCAGACTATGCAGGAATGTGATGAGGAAGGCCAAGGCCCAACTAGAATTAAATCTGGCTTGGGACATCAAGGTGGATTTCTTTAAAAACCATCAGCAGCAAAAGCAAGACCAAGGAAAACATGAGCTCACTGCTGAATGGTGCGGTGCCCTGGTGAAAGAGGTACAGAAATGGCAGAATTACTCAATGCCTTCTTTGCTTCAGTCTTTACTGCTCAGGTCAGCCCTCACGTATCCCAGACCCTGGACACAAGACACAAAGTGGAAAAAGGAAGACTTGCCCTTGTTAGAGAAGGACTGGGTCAGAGATCAGTTAGACAAACTCAGCATCCACAAATCCATAGGTTACTATGGCATATACTCATGAGGGCTGGGGGAGCTGGCTGATGTTATTGCTTGGCCAGTCTCCATCATCTCTGAAAGTCTTCAAAAAGGGCAAGGACGAGGTATCCAGTCAGTCACAGGCCAGTCACCCTCACATTCATTCTGGAAAAGTTGTTCATTCTTTGGTCATCTGCTTTCCCTTTAAAGGTCTTACTACAGGTGAACTAAAAACCTTGGAAAGTGCCAGATGGATTTACACACAGATAAAAAAAACTCATAATACAGAACTATATAAACAAGAACAACATATTTAGTAAATGCACCTTTGAAGAACAGATATGTGGACTTCTCTAGAAAGCAGAGAGATGACTTGCTATTCCTAGCAAGTCCCTTTTTACTTGATGCTGTTTACATCTACCGCATACACCAGCAGACTGTGCTATACACAGGTCTCCAACGTAGTACAGTTTCAACCCTAAACAGCACTTCCAAATCAGAGTGAACTCAAGGTATTCAAGCCAGAGCTGACATGAGTGTGGTTCAAAAAAAATGTGGCTAGGTAAAGCTCACAACACAGATGGGGTTATCAGACCTTCTATAACCATCACATCAATTGGACTGGACTTGGGTGATCTATGGTTTTGCTGTAAATGTCAATTTAAGCTCATTGGCATCGGCCAATCACCTGGGGAGGAATAACCCCAGACACCAGTACAGGCTGGGGACTGACCTTCTGGAGAGCAGCTCTGCGGAGAGGGACCTGGGTGTCATGGTGGACGACAAGTCGACCATGAGGCAGCAGTGTGCCCTCGTGGCCAAGAAGGCCAATGGGATCCTGGGGTGCATTAAGAAGAGGGTTTCCAGCAGGTCAAGGGAGGTGATCCTGCCCCTCTACTCAGCCCTGGTGAGGCCACATCTGGAGTATTGTGTCCAGTGCTGGACTCCACAGTACAAGAGGGATGTGGAGCTGCTGGAGAGAGTCCAGCGCAGGGCCACAAGGATGATCAGGGGCCTGGAACATCTGCCCTATGAGGAGAGGCTGAGGGAGCTGGGCCTGTTCAGCCTGGAGAAGAGAAGGCTGAGAGGGGATCTAATCAGTGTCTAGAAGTACCTCAAGGGAGGCAGTGAGGAGGATGGTGCTGGTCTCTCTTCACTGGTGGCCACCGACAGAACTAGAGGAAACAGCCACAAACTGAAGCACCCAAAGTTCCACAGGAACTTAAGGAAAATTTCTTAACAGTGAGGGTGACAGAGCACTGGAACAGGCTGCCCAGAGAGGTTGTGGAGTCTCCTTCTCTGGAGATCTTCCAAACCCGCTTGGACGCAGTCCTGTGCCACGTGCTCTAGGTGACCCTGTGTGTGCAGGGAGGTTGGACTAGATGATCTCTAGAGGTCCCTTCCAGCCTTAAGCATTCTATGATTCTGCGATTCTATGCTTGACGGCTACTGAAAGCACAACAAATACACATTATATATAAAAAATATTAATGTTGGAACTTTATTTAATTTGGGAAAATGCAGTTCACATAGCTGATTTGTATGCATCATGCGCCTGTGAATGCTTGTCTAATTTTCAGCTGTCACATTTAAAGGCTTCTGGACATCTGTTAAATGGGATATTGAGAGTAGAGTCCATTTTTCACTAAAGTGTTCTGTTTCTTAAAGGTAACTTCGTAACTCAGTTATTCACAAAAGTAATCTTGGCTTAATTAATGTTTTAATTTTCAACATTGTCCTTGAAAAGGAAAGTTATACTCCAAAATCATTCGAACTCTGTTAAATGCTAATACAGATAAGGGATCTAGAAAAAAGTTACTATCAGCTGAGCGAGCAGTACAGTAAGTACTAGACCTCTACCAAAGCAAAACATCTCTGAAAAATATGAAGATTACTCTAAAATGAAACATCATCATTGTTGGTTACAGTATTCATTTTCTTAATTTTGCAGAGCTTTAAAATTACACTTTTACAAGTCAGATGGTTATGAATTGAACAACTTCCAGACGATTGCCTAAGCTGCTTAATGTTGACATATGTTTGATGAGGTCTCTAGATTGTGCATAATTAATACAGAAATGCCTCCTGCTTCATCTGATGTGCATCTATATTATAGAAGCTTGTGCCACTCATATGAGGACTGGCATATCACAAAATTTTGAGTCTGCAGCTTGATTTTGGGAACCATTTTATACATGCAACTATTGGAGTGGTTGTTCTGTAGCACAAGCCAGAAGCACAGTACAAATGCATGTTCTAAAGGAAAAATAGATTTTTAACACATTGTCTGGCTGTCAAAGCCAAACTTCTCTAACCATAAACTCAGTAAAGCAAATGTGAGCGGAAGACCTCAGTTTTGGTTGAGAATAGAAATGGTGATGCAGGGCAAGCCTCATCATAACAAGGGCATTTAGACTTCTATATTATGATTTGCCAACAGCTTTCAAGTTTAAACAGAGAAGGACATCACTTTAAGTTGCTTGAAGTCAAGTGATTTAAGGTGCATTTCATTTTTTTTAAGCTTTAAGGCTGGTACAGTGTCTTTTTAGTATTCATTTTCAGATAGAAAATTCAGCACCAGTTTCTTGATTTCCAACAGCCTGTTGAATATTTAACAACAGAGAGTTTTCTTCACTAAAGATAATAATTCCAGAAAAGCTGACATGTTTTGTATAGGGAAAAAATGATGTAGCTTTAATGCAAAAAGCTTTTGCATAAATGCTAGGAAAATGCAACTTAAACAAATATATAATACAGGCTCTCTAGGGCGGACAAATTTTCTCAGTGGTTTGGGAAACATCATGGCCAGATTAATAAATTTCTTGCAAAGACTCAGAGCCCTCTTTGTTGAACTAACTCTATTCTCAGCACATTTTACACAAAACAACTCTGCACAGTCTTATATTAACAATGCAAGAAATCCATTAATGCTAATGCAACTTTCCCACTGATTTAATATTCCACCTAACAGGTTCATACACTGTCTCTAACATCATATTACATCTGGACCAAGTGACACCTTCTAGTATGCCTCACTAGTTTTCTTCATGTTTTTCATTTAACCTGAATATTAAAAGAGTTCCTGTAATTTGAAAGGTCTACTAAGAAGGGAAGGATGCGTAGGGAAATGAACCTGCTTTAGCAGCCTTTGCTTGGTCAGTAAATACCATATCAGTTTCTATAACATAAGCACCTGAGTCAACCACTCCAATGGTGGTTCTGAATTTGGTTCTGCCTTCCAAAAATCCCTTAGAGTCCCAATCAACATAAAAGAGCTGTCCACCTCTTAAACAGTATGGGCTTACACAAGAATGCTTGCACTCTCTACTGAATTCCAACTCAAACCTGGACAGTGACACCCTCCCACTCAAAAATACAAAAAGGCTGAAACGAACACTAACAAACACAACCCCACATACCCAGGTAGGCTGGTAGCACGAGAGACTCCAAGCAATGCAAGGAGCACGCACTCCCTCAGACACGGGAAAAAAGCAAATTACACTGCTTAGAAGAGTACTGACATGCAATTGTTAACGTAAACTAATCTTAAGAGATCTAAAGTTTTATTTCTCATTCTAAATGCTTGAACTAGTAAACAAAAAGTTCTATTTGT